AGCTGCGTTGAAGCTGAAGGGTACCACATGAAATCTCGGAAGTAGTAGAAAGTGTCGTCAGAATACATAATAAGGTTCTAAACAAGATAGTTGTATATAATCAGCCGGCGGGCGTTCAATGACCTTTCAAACACGAGATGCCCCAATATACGTCGTTCAAGGGGAGGCGCGTGATTAAGATGAGGTTAATTTCAATGAGGTCACTTCGCACCTCGGCGCGAAGTAATGTCAGTCGAGACTAACGTCGCACACCCTGTTCACTCAGCTGAAAGTGCAATCTGAATTAGGTTGAAAACCTCATATACGTCAAGGTTTTGATACTCCTTCAGGGATGCTGACCTCTAATGTATACCACATTCGACAGTCAAAGACTAACGTAAGAGTGCATTAGGTTCCAGAATAAATTTCTGTCTGCATGCGTACTGGTGCTGTGGTGCATGGTCGTAGTGTCTAAAGGGGTTCCTTAAGCTGCGTTTTACACTGCAAATAGTACTACGAAAAGAAGCGGTAAGAAAAGACATTCAGGCGATAGATGGCTGGTGACAATAATTGTACCATAGCAGCGAGGAGTTATGACGTTTTAATGGCAGACAGCTAGCTGTGGTCAGATCACTTATTGTTATAGATGGGTAAACGTTCCATACTAACGTCTTCCTGTTTGGTGAAGGTGTTGCAGATGCGATAGGTTACGTTTTCCTCCATTTTCGGTTAATCGATCCCCCTCCTCCCTCAGTTTCATAGACGTGGTTAAATGAGCTTCAAAAAACCCGTAAAGTTAGTTAAGGGTGTTAGAGTGCGAGTTACTTAAAAGCGCAACGACTCCATTATTCTCAATTCACCAACATGTGAAAACTATCTAGCCTTCATGTCTTTAAACGTCTGCCGCAGTTTCACGTTGTCAGTTTGCGCGTGGAAAGAATCGTCATCGTTAATCTAGATGCATAATGACAATCTCTTTGACCATCCTTTTCTGATTTCATTCATGGCCATTTTGGGAACGTTACAAAAAATGGACGTCAACATTGACCAGTGACTAAAACCAGTACTTTGCTAGCATGCCCAAGCACAGCGAATGCTTTTCATGGAATTGAATCTTCAAAGTTTTTTCTCTGTGACTTTCCGACGTCTTCGGAGTGTTTCGGTGGTGCTTGACAATTTTATTGGCCATCCCTTTTCCGATTTGGTTCGAGGCCATTCTGGGACCGTTGCAAAAAATGGACGTTACTGTTGATCAGTCAGTGAATATATGTTCTTTGCTAGCATGTTCAAGCAGAGCGAATGCTTTTTTGGAAATGAATTTGATGTTTTCTGTCACTTTTCGGCGTCTCTAGCGGTTTCGGTGCTGCTTTATGTATGGCGAAATTTAATCAATCCTCGCCGTCGAAAGACCCTTTCTGAGGTGTGCTTATTCTCCAGTAAAAGGAATGAGGGATACGTGCCATAACTTCAGAGTTTTATATTGAAATCGTTTTATTTTGTTGTTGAGGCTGATGTGGATGTTGATTAGCTGTGTAATTGGTAATAATTGGTCATCATAGATATCTTGTTTTGCTTCTAACGGCAACAAGAAGATGGTTATGTCGGCTCGCCTCATCGAATGAATCTAGAAAGTGAAACAGTTGAATTTCTATGCGAGAACGTAATGTCGAGCTTCTTTTTCAACCAGTCCGTAGTTCATTTTAAGAACAGCTCTATTACGTTAGTATAAATGCGGTTGCAGTATCCTGTAACGAAAAATAGGCGGTGTACCAACCGATTAATTTTAAGTAAATCCTCTGATTGAAGCAGAAAACAGTCTAAGATTTCGAATGCTTCTGATCCAACCACTGTAACATATAACGCTTAATTTTTGCAGTTGATTACTCCCGGAGAGCTAATTCATCCTGAAATTGATGAGATGTCTGTGATGACCTATCTTTCGCAGTTTCCGGTGGCAAAGTATGTTTGTTACTCTCAGAGAGTAATTTATTCGAAAGTCATACATGTGCGTTTCTGATTTTGATCTTATACAGGCTTGATCAAGTTGCCAAGAGACCGGAGCCCCCTGCTGAGCCTATTGCTACGGGAATCTTAGAAGGTTTGGACGAATTCCCGAAAGTCAACATGCCATCCGAATTTTATGTCAACGTTTTTGGTGATGGCTATAGGCCCAAGGTATGTAGAATACCAGATTCGATAATGTTGAACAGAGGCTTTTGTACAACCGCATTTTCAAACGCCTTTGCTGTCCTATGAAAAAAGTTCTCGATTTTGTGCAGGAATGTGGGTGGTTCTACCATGTATAGAAGATGTTCCTGCTGACTGGTTGGATTATGTTGAATCATTTATATGTTTTCAGATGAAAATCATCGATCCAGATGGGAACGAAGTTCATTATACAGTAGTCGAAGAGAATCCGCACAAGTTTCTTATTATTTACACCCCACTTCGTTATGGTGTTCATCATGTGCGTTTTTTCTAGTTTTGTTTTATTGGCTCTGATTATTATCGAAATTACTGATGCGTTGACACGTGAACATCGCTTAAATTCAATACAGACAGTTAGAAACGATTAGCTAAAAGGAGAGCTGCTTTTTGGCAAGAGCTGTTTACGACTTAGAATTCTGCCTGCTGATGGCCTCTTTTCTTTAGTTGTCTCTCTCGCTAAGAGATGTAGCTCTTGGCACGACTACCGCTGTTGAGGACGCTTCACGTACCGTAGAGGTGGGTAGAAGACTTGATTACATTGTTTCGTGTTGTTGCCAGCTAATGCGCAGTGCTGGTAGCAAATAGTTGGCTGGTTCATTTGAAATCATGGGATCACAATATTACAGGCTCTTCCCGTCGCTCGTATGTGCTCCTACCCCGATCGTGTACGTGTAGGTGATGTTGTACCATTACGTGTTGAAGATGCGATGAGAGGAGTAGTGGAAGTCGTTGTGGTGGATGCGAAAGGAACTGAGCATTTACTCGCCGTGATAGGTATTCTAGTTGTTCATTTTGCAATATGTTCATGGGCTTACTCACGACCATACATGTGCACACTTCTGAAATGCGCATGATTTAGCAACACTCACATAGCAATTTGTTAGATGCATTTTGTAACACGACGGCAAAATTTCCAAAATTCACAGGTTTTCAATTCCGAGCCGACTGACTGAGGCTGATTTGATTGTTTCCCCTAATAATTCGAGGTCGGGTTCATTTGCTAATCGATTGGTGTGGTGAAAAATGGTCACGTCATGGCTTAGCAAGTCAACTCTTATTTTTGCCGAGAGGAACAAAGGCTTCAAAATGCCGCCCATTTTTCAACTTCTTTTTCGGCTCCTGAGCGCTAGAGTTATTAGCTTTCATTGTTAACTAGAATCTTTAGGAAATGCGTTGTGTATACGTTTCGACATCATGAAATCGTTACATATGGCTTTTGCATTTGTAGATTCAATCTGTCTTGGCTCTGATAGTTATTTTTCATCGAATCAGTTTTGTAGCCGTTCAATGTCTTACTTTGCAGAAGGTCCTGGCAAAGGTGTGCATACCTGTGAGTATTTGCCAAACGGGAGCGGATTGCACACCATCAACGTCTTCCACAATCGGAATCCTATTCATGGAAGCCCGTTCCCGCTAAGAGTGTCAGATAGACGTTAGTTTACAATTTTTTTTCAAGTTTTGGCCTAGTTTGTATTTACTCTGGATTGCATAGTAGCGATTGCCATACCCGAAGTTTCGTTATAATTCACGTCTTCTGCAGGGGTTTGTTTACTAGTACTAAGAGGGAGTAAAATGCTCATTGAGCGCTTGCGAAACGCAGAATACATTACTATCTGGGAAAGGCATTCATACCCAACCTGACAATTTGGCAATATGCATGCGGTTGACTTGCGTATTTGGAATGCCGCTTTTGAGATTTTGCTCCAGAATAAAATTCGAGGTGCAGACGAATCATGAAGCTAATATTCGTTCGGTGAATCTTTTGAACATTTCAAGCGTTCTGGAATGATATCAGAAGTTGCGGATATCGTTGTTAGGAATAGCGAGAAGAAAAAGGGTGTTGAATCATTTGACAAACAGTGGTCCTCCACGAAATGTTTACCGTCCTGCCATAGCTCTTTGTGACTAATGGTGGTTGAAATAATAAGTGAATCTAAGTTGTTCCTTGCCAGAATACCGCAGTGCGGATGGGTTCATTAAATAAAGAATGTAAAGATATTATAGCGAAATAGAGGTTGTCAACTCACGTCTATAAAATGCATACATGGAAAGATGTATTCATTAATTGTCAAGACTCTGCCCGATGCCGCCAATTGATCCGAGCTTTCTGCAGATTTCATAGGCTCTTCTTTGGGTTTTTGTTAGAAGACAAGTAATTACGGATTTCTATGGAAATCAGTGAATGCAAAACCAGATGCAGTCTAATGGCCATTTTCTTCGAAGCTGGCCGGTGGCTGGACGCTAAGATATGATATCGCTCTACTGAAACTCCTAAAATAACGTTAGATCTTTTCTAAGTCCAAGTAATTTGTAAGTTGGGAGTCAAAACCGATTTAGGTAACTAAAATTAAGCTGATTTTCTGGTCTCTCATTTATGGCCTTTGCTTCGCTGAGTTCGCGTGTCTGCTCATCTTACCATTGGCCTCATCCTTTCCAAACTCCAGTCGATCTCTCCAGATCTTTCACCGCTTCAGAATTTTCTTCAGACGATGCCGAATTCGTGAGAGAGCGATTGACAAGCAGACAGACAAATAGACTGATGTAAGGCCTTAGTAAGGATGAGTAATATTGAGGAGCTGTAAGTAGAGCACTAGATGCGTGATTCCGCGTATAATTATGAGAACGTCTTGGGTATTGTAACGTAAGCGGTGGGTGCCTCGTCTCCTTCAGATAGCTCGAGCTATTACTACATCTACATATAGTAAAGTTTTTCTTCAAAGGTTTTTCTTTACGCCATCTTGAAACGTACAGCTAGTTGCGAACTTATTAGTAAGACTCTCTCGTATTTCGGTAGGCCCCGCCTGCCTGGAAGATTCTTCACACTCGGCAGTTGCTTGCCTTTACTATTCCCAACATACAGCAGTATTTTTCGAGGTTATGAGTTTTCGGAAGAATTGATGATTTTTGCCGGTGACCGAAGTTGAACACGTTCGGTGTACTGCGTTCCCATCTTACTTGTGGACCCATGGCTTGCATAATCTATATTGCAGGTTTCTCGACTCCGTTCGCGACGAATTACCACAACATTTTAAACTCGACCCACCCCTGCAATTTTTAGGTCGACGTCTGTATCGGTTTCCGTTGAGCTGTGAACAACAAATCTTGAATGCCCGAATACATCCCTGAAAGCACAAATCGCAATCGAAATGGTTTCCATATTCCCTGCTTGGACGAATCTGGGGACATTGAAATGCACATTGAATTTTGTAGAGTCGAAAAAGGGCGAGATAATGCTCGAGCGAGATTAAATACCCTTCCTTAAGATCTTTTTTGTTGTACACATTCAGCTTGTGGATGAGAAAAGAGCGATATCTAATGGGTGGCAGAGAATAACATCAAAGAGATTGCAGCAGCACAAAGTTATATGTAGTTGCATGCAGTCCTGATCCTCTGCTCGAAGAAAAACATTTTTTAATAGCATTGAAACTTTTTCCGATTTTTCACCTATATGAATTACTTTCCGATGATAAACATCTTCCCCCAATCTTCCTTTCGTTGGTCTCGTACAACTTCCAGTCTCCCCCAAACCTCCTTTCACGGTCTCGTATAACTTTCAATTTGCTTGTTATGAGAATATTCGCTTCTGCGAATTCTGCCCTCTTTGCCGCTGATGAACTAATCTGCACCAAAAAAATGCCCGTTCCTCATAGTCAAACATGACTGAATTCATCGCCATCTGTGCCCTTGGATGGCCCAATTTTTTGAGGCGAATCCAAATAGTTACGATATATGCACTGAGATAGACAGATAGCGTTTTCAATTTAGAAAGGATGAACGTTAGCTACCTGTTTTACAGTTGTCAAGCAAGCTTAGTCTCGTCAATTTAGATAGCTTTTCTGTCTGGGGCCGCGGCATCAACAGCGAAGGGATCAGGGTTGGCGATGTGGTTCCTGTTCACATTGACGTCAAGGGTCCTACCGCTGAAGTTGTAGATGATTTATCCGTCCAAGTCTTTGCAGGTAACAATAATTGTCATTCCTTTCCGTTTCTCTTCTTAAATGTGGATTTTTAAAGAGAGTTAGACATTCGTTCGAGAATGGTTCAATTTTCAGATGATGGCGCTGTGGTACCTGTGAAGCAGCAAAAGAAGGGATCGCGTTCTACTTTCCTTTATTCTCCAGCAAAAGTTGGGGGACACAGTGTGCACGTAGCAAATAAACTCGGACCCATAGGACAAAGCCCGTATAAGGTCGAAATTGACAAAACCTAACTTCTTTTCCTTCTTAGAATACAGTTTTTTTTTTCTTCGCGAAATTCGAAGGTTCAGGTTGACGTTTTGCCTGTGACGAAATCTCGAGTTCGTGCTTTTGGTCCAGGGCTTGAGGGTGGAATGACTGAACAACAGAGCGTTTTCGGTGTAGAAACCAATGGTGATGCTGACAGATTGGGTAAGCTCCTATGATGTTGGAGTACCAATCGCTTTTACATATGGAATATTATTTGTTTTAGCATTTTCGATTGAGGGACCGAGTAAAACAGATATTGTTTGCCAAGATCGTGGTAAAGGAGCTGCTCTCGTTTCCTACACGGTAAGTACTCAGACGGCTGGCGGAATGAGATAAACGCTGTGCGGCTGTGTGACCTATCTGTTGTAGCCGGAGATTTAGATTCTGAGCTTGTGCGACAGCGTTCATTATTTTGTATGTGGACGGAATTTTGAACTCTGGAGCTAGAAGTCCCCCTCTCCCCTCACTCACTTCTCTTGCATTGAACCCTTCTTTTCCTCTTCTCATATCTTCCAGTCTTTCGTCTCCCTTCACTCACTTCTCTTGTGTTATGCCTCTCTTTCCTCTTCTTCTCGTATCTTTCATTCTCATTTCCCTCTTTCCGTTTTCTCCTTTTCTCCTTTCCTCCTCCTCTTTTTCTCATCTCTTTTCCTACTCAGCTCTTTTTTCTAATCCGCTTTCCTATTGTTCTCTTTTTCTTCTTTTTATCTTTGACTGTTCTGTTTCTTTCCTCTTCTCCTTTAATCTTCTTTTCCTCCCCACTTCTT